CATAACTGAACATGATTATTTGAAGGTTAGCGTTTTTTGTATTAAAAACACTTGTCTTTCATTGGTGGGATGAAATATGCTAATTTTTCGGGACAGGCATTTTGGGTTTTCATGAGCTGTATGCCATAATCATCAGTATTAAAACAATTAAAGACCTGAAATATTTCAGTTGGTGTGCAATGAATCTGAAATATAGGAAAGTTTCATTTTTATCATTACATTATGGAAAATAATGACCTTTATCACAATATGCTAATTTTTTGAGAGGGACCTGTACATAAAAGCCAATTAGTAAAGTTCTCTATCTAAGGAATCCAGCAGACAAGTTGAATCTTGGCTTTGTTGCAGTCTCCCATCCTGAGCAAGCACAGTGGCAACAGTGGAAAGGAAAGGCTACAACCATCGACTGGCGGAATGTCCACAAATCTGGCTTTTTGGATTCACCATTGAGTGTACAAGCAGAACTGAAGGCAGACATGTACTCAGTAGAGTTGGCCTGCCCAAAACAATTGTTGTTGTTTATCTGAATCTGGCCTCCCCGCTGGCCTTGGATAGGCCAACTTATCTCAAATTGCTCCTGGATGAAGCTCTGCTCTGCTTCCCCCCCGAACATCTGTGGACCCTTATCTTAGCTGAGCCGGCTGATAGACACTGTGCCATCTTTATCAGGACTATGGAACTTTCTGGCAGTGTTCATGTGTCGTCGTCCCCCCACCCCCATCCCACCTGCAAAATGTCTTAAGTCTATCTATGTTGCTTTTCTTACCATACCATACCGTTTTATTTACAGAGCACTTAAAACAGTGACAAGGCCAACCAAAGTTCTTGTGCTGAGGTAGTTTTTTTTACTACCTTACACTGTGTCCTGTGAGCCAAGGACACAGTGTTGGAGATCTTTTTTTATACCTTCTTCTCTCCTCATGTTTTTCTTCCCTTTTCTTATCTAAACTACAAGGGCAGTGCTTCACAGTGAAGCTGCAGCCTCCGTGCATCTCTGTCTACCCTTGTTTACTTTGGACAGCAGCACTGAAATGTATTTTGTTGTGCTTAACTCTGCAATGACAACAAAGTTGATTCTGATCTATAAAAAAAAGAGTTTGGACATCAGTGAGGGAAACACGAATACCTTTTAAAAAATAGTGCCAAACTGTGAGGGCCCAGAGTCCAGCCAGGAGTCCGATACAGTAGAACATGCTCTCCCAGCCATACCTGTCCAGTATCAGGGAGCCCAGTCCACCTGCTAACAGAGTTCTGAAAGAATCCGAGGGCAGGAAAACAAACGATGCCATGAGTGAGAAAGATGTGTTTCCATGTGCGTACATGAGTGTTGAAGCTACCCAAGGTGACTGCCGCTGTGCATGGTGCTCATTAAGAAGCCTCTCTCTCCCTCCACCACACGCTGGGAGCACAGGCTGGCCAAAGATGGGAAGAAGACACCTGCAAGAAGTGGCAAAATGAAACCATCTTTAGATTCAGTTCAGTCCCAAAAAACTCTGAACTCTGCTGAAGGGCGGGGAAATTATGAAGCAGATAGCTTTATTTGTTGAGGTGCTGTGGATCAGTTAAGAACAATTATTACCTTATCGGTTGTAGACAGCTCTTTAACCAACCTCTGTTTGCGGAAATAGAGTTTATTTTTGACCAGACGGATGAGCTAAAGGCTAGTCTTAGCAGGAAAGACCAAAGTGGATTTATGCTATCAAAAAACAAGTCCATTCTGAAACATTGTAATGTGGTTAATGTGAACATTATTTTAAGAATCTCTACTCAAAGTGGTTCATGTGAACATTGTTTTACAAACTTTTACTCAAAGTTGTTCATGTGAACATTATTTTACAAACACCTACTCAGCCACAGATTTTTCATTGCACTGATATATTTACAGAGTTTTGGCTACAAGCAGCAGCAGCTAGCTTTAGCATGGTCAAAGCAGTCCGGGAGACTTTTGGTGCATTTGCTAAATTGATGAAAGTGTAAAAATTAGCTGTTAGCTTACCATTCAGCTCAGAAAAAAAAAAACTTTTTAAAAAAACTTTTCTTTTCAAACTGAAGTCTCCAAATCAGCTATCGAAAACAGGTAACATATTAACTGTTCATAATCTTTTCACAGAACACCACTATAAAAGATGTGAACTTTCCTTTTAAGCCAGAGTTTTGAATTTTTGTTAGTAATGCAACACTGACCCTGGAGAACACCCATCAGGACTCGGGCCATCGTCATCGCAGCAAGGGTGTGTGAGCCCAGATGGGCCAGGAGAGGGGTACCGGCCGTGATCAGAGCCCAAGAAGCTGCAGAGATGAACAAGACACGCTCTCCTCCCAACCTGAGAGGAACAGAAAGAGGAACATGAAGCTGGAGAGATGAACAGGACACGCTCTCCTCCCAACCTGAGAGGAACAGAAGGAGGAAACCCTCAAAGCCTTTTCTGAAAATACACGGGCGCTGACAGTAACGCACAGTCTGAAGCTTTCAGAGTTATTTTTATGAACACCAATCACAGTTTAATGTTTATAACCGTGTTGTGACTCTATGTGGTGCTGCTCATGTTGTTGAACCCCCTGCTCTGTGTGTAAAACTAAACTTTCTGGATCTCTTTGAAAATAAAACTAAAATCGTCAAATTCTTGACCCTGCTGGCCTCTTGGGTTGAAACAGTCATGCTGCTGTCAGAATCTGGCTCTTATTGACAAGACCTTGGTTTTGGATCAGCACACAACACTAGGCACAAGGAATGGTTTAAACAGTTTATTAGAAAATAGCTACTGGCGGAGGTCCGGGTCCCAGGGGTGGGCCGACTGGTAAGACAGAGAAGTTAGTGGAAAGGTCTTGGGTGGCAAGGTTCTGTGAGTCTTTGTGACTGTCACTAACCTTCTCAATCTGCTGGGAGGCACAAACTCTTGTAGAGTTGGTGGTGATGACATCACTCGTGAAGAGTGTGCAGCAACAGTTGAGCAGACAGGAGCAGCACTTGATCAGTGAGGGGATAATACAAGGGCAGGGTCCGTTAGTTGAAGCAAAGGTCGTACACAGGTAATCTGAGAGCAGAAGCCAAGGCCAAGACGTGATCCATGAAGCGTAATTAGAGAGGAGAAAAGCAGAGTCAGTACTGTGGTCAGAAAGCAGAATCCAGATCCAGAAAGGGGCAGGCAAGGAGAGGAATCCGTGGTACAGATAGAGGGTCATAACGAGGCAAGGAAACAAGACTGTGGTAATAACACTGGATATCTACCGGCTTGAGAGTTTTTGATAATCTGGCACTGGATGAGAGAAATAGCTGAGCTTAAAAAGGGAGCAGAGCAGGTGGAACTAATGAGCACCGATGAGTGACTGAGCAGAGGAGGCATGGTGCAGGGAGACAGGAGCTGAGGAAGGGCAATGGGCATTATAGGACTGCAAAGATGAAAACTAAACTAAATTGTGGAATACAAGGGCAAAAATGTGACAGAACCCTCTCTTTAAGGTCTAGCTCCTGACGGATCACCAGGTTGGCCAGGATGGTTTCTATAGAAAACCCAAATGAGGGATTTGTCCAAAATATGACAGGCAGGAACCCAGGAATGTTCCTCGGGCCTGTAGCCTCCCAATCGACAATGTAGTGAATATTCCCTCCTCACCATCTGGAGTGGAGCTGTCTCCTGATGGTGTAGGCTGGGAGCCATAAATAAGTTGGGTGGGACGGAGGGGGGGGGGGGGGGGCTGGAGGAGGGCTTCAAACGAGATGACAGGAGAGGCTTGACATGGGACACATGGAAGGTTGGGTGGACTTTGACGGACCAGAGCAGTTGGAGATGAACTGCGACCGGATTAATGATGTTGGTAATAGGGAAAGGTCCTACAGAACAGGGTGCCAACTTCAGAGACTCCACCCGCAGAGGAAGATTTCTAGTGGAGAGTCATACTTTCTGGCCCACACGATAGGAAGGTTGTTGCGATCGGCGTCTATTGGCCCCCTTGATGTGGACCACCAAAGTTTTCAAGAGAACTTTTCTGGCTTTTTTCCATGTGTGCTGACACCTCAGAGCTGATATGTGGGCTGATGGGACTTGGGCTTCTCTCCCCTGGACAGAAAATAATGGTGGTTGAAAACCATACACAGTGTAAAATGGAGACAGATCTGATGCAGAGGAAGGCAAGGAGTTTATGACATGCTCCATCCAGGGGAATTTGGTAGTACATTTGTTGGGATCCCCTTCACACAGGAGGTGGAGTTTGGTTTCCACTTCCTGACTGGCTCTCTTTGTCTGGCCATCAGACTGTGGGTGGAAACCTGAGGAGAGACTGACAGACACACCAAAGAAGCTGCAAAACTCCCTCCAGAACTTGGAAATGAATTGAGGTCCCCGGTCAGAGACAATATCAGCAGGAAGACTGTGCAGTCAAAAACCCTCTCTAGCCAAGATTTTGCCAAGTTCTTATGCTGAGGGGAGTTTACTGAGTGGGACAAGGTGGACCATCTTGGAGAAACTAACAACTATAGTGAGAATAACTGTATTGTCAGAGGATGGGGGAAGACCAGTGATAAAATCCATACTGATGTGGGACCATGGACGGGATGGGATAGGCAGGGGATGAAGTAAGCCAACTAGTGGTTGTCTAGAGGATTTGGCCTGACTGCAGTGGGGACAAGCATTGACGTACTCCTTGACATCCTAGACCAAATCCTTCCACCAGAACTGGGCTTTAACAACACTGAGAGTCTTAGTTATTCCAGGGTGACAAAACTTGTGGGATTGGTGATAAAGCTTGAGTATCTTTTAGACTTGGTTAGCAGGGACGAACACCCGGTTTTTAGGACAGTCAGGTAGAGGAGGTTGGGCCAGATTGGCCCGGCAGAGGTCTGATTCCAACTGGGTCATGGACAGACGTATCGAGTTGGGTAGTATGAACTACATTTTGTTGGTTTCATGAGTCCCATTCTTCTCCATGATGTGGGATAAGGCATATGGCTTGGTATTTTTGGACCTGGGTCTGTATGATAGGACAAATTCAAACAGGCAGAAGAATAATGCCTACCTTGCTTGTCTTGGATTGAGACATTTAGCTATTTTGCGGTATTCAAGGTTTTTATGATTGGTCCAAACTTGGAACGGTTCTTTGGCTCCCTCTAGCCAATGTCTCCATTCCTCAATGGCTAATTTTATGGTCAGTAATTCCCATTCTCCCACATCGTAATTTTGTTCAGCAGAAGATAGGCTACTGGAAAAGAAGGCACATGGGTGAACATATCCCACACTGCTGCGTTGACTGAGCACTGTCCCTACCCCCGTACTTGACGCATCCACCTCCAAAATAAAAGGTTTATTGGGGTCAGGAGCGGGAAGGATAGGAGCTGTGGAGAAAAATTTCTTAAGTTTACTAAAAGCGAGATCGGCAGCTTCGTTCCAAACAAATTTGGCTTTGGAGAGGTCAAGGCATGTAATGGTCCAGAGATCAGATTATTCATTATAAACTTTCTACAAAAATTAGCAAAGCTCAAAAACCTTTGTAGTTGTTTTCTATCTTTAAGAGTGGGGCAGTCCATGACCGCAGAGACATTATTAGTGTCCATAGTGATCTAGTTTGGGGATATTACAAAACCTTGAAATAAAATAGATGACTGGTAGAATTTACATTTTTCCGCCTTAACAAACAGATTGTTCTGAAAAAGACTGACAAGAGCCAATCTGACGTGTTTGTGGTGAGACACAATATCTTTAGAAAAAAATGAGAATGTCATCCAAGTACACAAATACAAACTGGTTGACCATGTCTCTCAGGACGTCATTGACTAACGCTTGGAAAACTGTGGGTGCGTTAGTAAGACCAAATGACAAAACAAGATACTCATAGTGTCCATTAGGAGTGTTAAACGCCATTTTCATTCGTCTCCTTTCCTGATCTGAACCAGATGATAGGTGTTTCTTAAGTCTAATTTAGTGAAAATGGTGGCTCCTTGAATCAAGTCGAAAGTAGAAGACATAAGAGGTAATGGATATCTGTTCTTCACTGTGATTTTGTTTAGACCCCTATAATCAATACAAGTTCTGAGTGATCCATCTTTGTTGCCCACAAAATAGAAACCTGCCAAAGCCAGGGACACTGAAGGTCTAATAATGCCTGCTTGAAGGGACTCTTTAATGTAGTTTTGTATGGTTAAATTCTCGGGACCTAACAAGGAATAAAAGCTGCCCCTAGGAGGTGTAGAACCAGCTATAAGGTCAATGGCACAATTATAGGGCCTGTGAGGTGGTAGATGTAGGGGTTTTTCTTGTTTAAAAAACCAGCACCTATTAAAAAATATTAACCACAACAGAAAACAGAGATGAGTTATAGTAAACGCAAATCTTTGCAAAGAGAGACATCATCCGACCAAGGTCAGAACGAAGTCTAAAATTGCTTCTGTGTGCGTCCGTTTTTATTGGAGCATGTAGGAGTGGTTAACAGATAAAAACAAATAATGTAGATGCGGCAGTATTAGAAGACAGAAGCTGCAAGCTCAGGTCAGTGTTCTCTGGGGGTGTTCAGACCGCACTGCTCTCAGCGTGTCCAGCATACATGTCCAAAGTACACTTCTACACACAGAAACTTTGTTGAAACAAGTATACTGATAAGAAAAACAGTTTCAAATGATCAATAGTTCAAAACTCTCCAACAGTAGAAATGTAGCTTTAACTTTGTTAAATACTTCTGTGAGATCGTGATACTCGATGGGTACTTTAGAGAGAGCTGGATAGGTATCTTGAATACACTCAGGACTGATAGTGGGTAAAATAGCTTCACATAGACATGAAGAAAGACACTCTTTAGACCATCCAACAATTTATTTGCCCGTCCAATTAATTTGGGAGTTGTGTTTATTAAGCCAGTGGGACCAAGAACAATGGGGAGTTGAGGTGAATTTATAACAATAAACTTTATTGTCTCCCTGTGGTTACCCCCCAACAATAAAGTAATGGGAAAAGTCTCCAGATTCGAGTCATGCAAAAAATGGCCGTCCAAGACAAGAACCTTGTGGGATTTTGAAGACTGGAATAATTTGATCCCCACTAAAAGGGCAAACTAGTGATCATTAAATTCTGTGTAGGCACCAGAATCAATGAAAGCAGAGACAGAAACTGTTCTCTTACCAGATAGTTGTATTTCTGCTGGTACAGTGAATGGTGAGGAGATCTTGGGGTTTTTGATATGACTCAACAGACATCTCCTCTTACCTGTTGAGTCTGACCTTTTAATGGACACCTGGCAATAATGTGGTTCTCTGCCTCGCAGTAGAAACAGAGATTAAATTTCCTCCTCCTTTCTCTCTCCTTCAGAATGAGACAGCTTCTCCCCAGTTGCATGGGGTCCTCGGGCTGTGGGGTGCTAGGAGTTGGTCCAGGAGGTGTTATGACTGGGAATGTTTGTGGCTCACCTCATGACCAAAAGGTTTTCACCGGTCTGCTTCTACTCTCACGATCCCTCTCCCAAAGATGTATGTCGACTCATGTAGCCAGGTCCTCCAACCTTTTGAGGGATTCAGGGTAGTCTTTGGTACCCAGTTTGTCCTTGATTTTATCATTGAGACCTTGAAAAAAGGCATCCGTTAGAGCCTCCTCATTCCAGTGACTTTCAGCCGCAATAGCATGAAATTCAGTTACTCGTTTGTGGCCTTGTTTCACATAAAACAGTCTACAAGCTGCCCCCCTCTCAGGCAATATTGGATCAAATACTCTACAGAGTTCTTTGGAAAAGTGAGAAAAAGAATAACAGCATCTGGAGTTTATTTGCCACTCAGACGTACCCCAAGATTTAGCTTTACCTGCCAAAAGGGAAATAGTAAAAGCCACCCGGGACCGCTCAGAGGGGAAGGATGAGGGCTGCAACTGGAAATGAATGTCAGACTGGGTTAAAATGGTCAACACTGATCAGGTTCACTTTTAAACAGCTCCGGCAGAGATAAACGTGGTTCATGATATGATGCTGCGTAACAAGGAGTAGTGCCTTCAACACCGGAAGCGTGAGCAGTATTCTGTGAGGAAGTTTGTTGAGACATCCAACATTTTTCAGTCAGGTCATCTGGAAAGTTTATTTTTATTTTTTGTGCTGAAACGTTTCGCCTTCGATCCAGAAGGCTTCATCAGTCAAGGAAACACACAACACAAAACTGATCAGTTTTATGACTGAATGTTAAATGACTTTGGTCAACGTAGCTTTTATAAATAACCTGATGGTGGCTCAGTGTTGAAGTGGTGTTGCAATGGATTCATTCAATTCAGTTTATTTAAATAGCACCAAATCACAACAAAGTTGTCTCAGGGCACTTTACAGGAACATTCAGATACATAGAAAAGCCACTTAGTAAAGTTCTCTACCTAAGGAATCAATCCCTTACGTGTCACTGGCGTGTCCTCCCAGGATCTGAGTGAAACAGTAGCCCCAGAAGAAGGCGCCCAGGACAAGGCCAGACTCGATCTTACTCCAGTGGAAGGAGGCGGCCATCGAAACAGCACAGACTGGCATGGTCATCCGGGCACTGTAGAGGAGGCAGGTGCCCATGAACAGCATCACGGTCCATTGTCGAGCCAGAGGTCTGTAAACAACATCTGCTTAATGACGAGTGTCACCATCTGGATGAAAGTTTCTGCATAAAATGTGGATCATTACCTAAGGACAATACTTTTTGTCAAGATGACAGTAGACAACCTGAGTGAGTGGATAAAATGTCTGAGTCAAGCAGGAAGATGTTCATCTGTCAGACTTTGTTCAAATGTTATGTTTAAAGAACCAAAGTGCTACAGTTAAAAACAGAGTCATGCTTTCACAGGATGCTGAGAAAGCGTTTGACTGGGTGGAGTGGGGTTATTGAGACTTTAAAGCTATTTAAATTTGGTCCTAAATGCATGTCATGGGTGAAGTTGATATATATCTCCCCAATGGCGGCAGTACACATTAACTGTAACCTACTTCAAATTGCAATGCGGTATGAGACAAGGGAGCCCGCTCTCATCTCTTCTATTTGCATTAGCAGTAGAGCCACTAGCTGTAGCTTTACAGCAAAACTCCATTAAAGGGTATAAATTGATTAAGCACAGAGCATAAAGTTTCTTCATATGCAATTGACATCCTTTTGTATATACAGTATCAGATCCTCTCACCAGCATTCCTGAGTTACTTACTTTGCTCCAAAAATTCGGGAGAACATCTGGCTATACCATCTATAAGGTTAATCTTCAGAAAAGCGAGCTGATGTGGGTGACTTCTATAAAAAAAGAAAAATTTAGGCACTGTAGCTTTTAAAATTAGTTTAAAAAAAATTAAATACCTTGGCGTTGGGTAACATGGGTCTGTAAGAACCTCTGTAAGGCTAATTATCTACCTCTCATGGCGAACCTTAAGCAAGACATTACTAGATGGCAAACCCTACCTCACACACTGGGGGGGTAGAATAAACTCTGTAAAAATGAATATTCTATCTACATTTCTGTATCTGTTTCATAGCCTGCCAATCTTCCTTACTAAATCATTCTTCTTCAATCTGAACAGCCAGCCATCAGTGTTTATTTGGAATAAAAAGCATCCAGGGATTGCCAGGAAGATCTTGTATCTGTCCCATATGTCCTGTAGTCATGTCACTTCCTAAAATCATGCACTATTACAGGGCAGCTAATATCAGATCTCTTATTTTGGTTAAGAAAGGATACTCCTCCTTCCAATTGGGTGGCTTTGGAGAGAGCCTCAATTAGATCCAATTCCCCCTCTGCATTACTTTGTTCTCAGTTGCCTTTTAAACAGTCAATTTCAACTTATACTTCTACTGGACAGTTAAGATTTGGAATAATTTCCAGAGGGCATTTAATTCTATGGAATTACTGTTTTAGCATCTGTGTTAAATGTTTACTCCCTCAGTAGCTGATACAGCTTTTGACACCTGGGTCTTGAATGGAGTATATTCAGTATATGATCTATGTTGATAAGTTTGCCTCTTTTGTGCAGCTGTTACAGAAGTTTAATATCCATGAGTCGCAGTTCTTCAGATATCTGTAATTGAGGCATTTTGTGAGGTCTAACTCTGATTGTTTTCTTTTGTACCCCTCTAAACAGTTTGTGGTTGGCCCTCAACAAGATCTGTACACTGCTCTGTTCATACCATGAGAGCAGCTTGGACTCTCTTAAACTGAAATTTGAAATGGACTTGGAGGATCCGCTACGAGAGGAGAGTCAGTGTGACGGAGGGATCCAGACATCCACTTGCATCATGGGACGAGAGTCAAAGTGGAGTTTGGGACTTTGTGGTTGCATCTCGTGAGGATGGGGAAATACCTCCGACTAGTTGGATTATAGTTTCCATAAATAATATGAGCTCCAACGCGTTCCATCCAACTCAATAGCAAGCTTGTAGGAAAAAACAACTATGAGTGCACTCTGGTAACTCTGGGTTAAATTAATTTTATTTCATCTGATTAATTTAATGTGTTCTAATTTGCATGTGATTAATATAAAGGCTAAAAAAATGTTATTGTGTGAATCTCGTTTCTTCATTTCAGCAGTGCACTGTAAAAATATTTTACAGATCACATATTGTTTTCTTGGAAAAACCTATTGAGAATTATAGTTATCCTTCTGGACACAGTTAATATACATTGGAATGTCTCTTTCACCATAATGTAACTGGACATTAATTGGAACCTATACTAAATACCAGTAGTTATTATCATGATATAACGAGCCAGGTGGTGAAAGGGTTACAAAACTGACATGGATCCTTCATGTAACCGCTGTAAACAAACTCCAGCTATGCTATTACACACATTCTGGACATGTCCAAAACTTCCTGTGAAAAGCGGTATAGTTTCCATCGCCTACCTACAGATGAGGAATTAAGAAGAATATGGCTGAAAGATGTGAACTTGAAGTCAAGTCAAGGTTCTTTATTGTCATTCACAGTTTGAAGAGACCACCCAAAACACTGTATGTGAGCTCATTTCACTTTGTTGACAAATGGCTGACAGAGGAAAACCTGCATGCTACTTTGTGTCTGGACTACAATAAACCACCGGAGAAGAGACGTTGAATCCTGATAAGGATTGAAAACAGTGTGACGAGAACATCAGGTATGATTTGAAGTGTATTGCGGGCACAGCATTATAGTATTTATTAGTCTTCTGTATTATGATTTTCTCTGCAATTAACCCAAGCTCAGTGATGGAGGACTTGAGTTTGGCTGGGCTCTATGTCTGCCTTAAAATAAATAAGATTGTGTCCCACCTCTTTTAACAAAACACCACCAACCTTATTACTGTGTAGATACTGATACACCTCAGAGCTTTTCAGGTTGTTCATCGCTTCACCGCAGGAAGAACCGAGTCAATGAAGTAGCTAAATATGTTTGTTGTATATGTAATCTGTGGCCACTTCTTCAGGTCATCCTCCCCATAGACTTATTTATATATGTAGATGCGTCATTGAGCACCAAATCGTACATCGCCACCATATTGGATGCAGCAAAAGTGAAGCGATATGAGAAGATGCCTCATTCATTCAGAGTGGCAACACGGCAAAAGACACACAAGACTTTTTTTCCCCAAAGTTTATAACTTACACACATACACACACACATACAGCACATAAATAAAGTCTAAATAAAGGTTGAATGAATGAAAAATAAATAAATATTATATATACAGACCTTTTCCAAAAAATTTGAATATCATGGAAAAGTTGTTTAACTTCAATAATTCCATTGAAAAAGTTAATCTTCAATAGATGATAGATTCAGGGCCCACAATTTAAACGATTTCAAGTATTTATTTGTTCATTTTTACATAATTTGGGCTTCCAGCTCCATGAAAACAGGATTTCAAAAAATTTGAATACTGTAAAGACATCAGCCCACAATACTTACTCAGTTTTTGCTGAAAAAAAGAAAGAAATTAGGATCACAACAAATCAATCATAATATGGTACTTTCAAAACGATATGTCAATCTTCAATATTTGGTTGGGAATCCCTTTGCCTTAATCACTGCCTCGATGTGACGTGGCATTGAGGCAATCAGCCTGTGGCATTGACTGGGAGTTATGGAAGCCCAGATTTCCTTGATTCATTCAACCTTTATTTATACAGGTTAATCCCATTGAGCCTCGAGGACTCATTTACAAGAGAGACCTGATTTCAACAAAGAATGATGACAACAATGGACAACAGCAACAACAAAAGATAGCCACAAAAAAGGCATACAGATTTTTATTTTTTTATTTTTTACAAATAAGATGGCAAAAAAAGTAACAAAAAACAGCTATATTCTAAGGCGAATGTAGAAAACTAAAAACAGGAACATGTCTGCATTGGTCCCTGCCAGGAGTCCAACAGATTCTTAAAGCCACATAGAGAGGTCAAGGTCGAGAGCTTCAGGTCTTTTTGTAAGATATTCCAGGAAACAGGAGCGGAGTAGGAGAAGGCCCTTTTGCCAAGTTCAGTCCGCACTGACGGAACACTGCAAGTAATAATGTCCTGAGAGCGCACGCTGTAGCTGCAATCACACAGAGACATAATTGATGCTTGCTGTCAACTCTTCTTTGTTGTTGGGTCCGGTGCCCCTCACTTTCCTCTTGAGAATACCCCATAGATTCTTAATGGGGTTTAGGTCCGGCGAGTTGCCTGGCCCAGTCAAGCACTGTGGCATGGGCATCAAACCAGGTTTTGGTGCATCTGGTGGCATGGGCAGGGGCCAGGTCCTGCTGGAAGATGAAATCTACATCTCCATACAGATCCTCAGCAGAAGGAATCATGAAGTCCTCTAAAACATTCTGGTAGACTGTTGCAGTGACATTGGATATAAGAAAGTAGAGTTTACCAACACCTGCACCGGACATTGCACCCAAATCATGACTGACTGTGGATATTTCACACTGGACCTCAAGCAGTATGGGCTCTGTTCCTCACCCTTCTTCCTCCAAACCCATGGACTTTGATTTCCGAATGAAAGGCACACTTTATTTTCATCGGAAAAGAAGACTGAGGAACCCGACAGTTGTAGCCCATCTCCTGGATGTGTCTGAATGTGGTGGTTTTTGAAGCTGTGACTCCCGCCTCATTCCACTCTTTCTGGATCTCTGCCAGATTCTGGAATCTTCTCTGTTTGATAATCCACTGAAGCCCACGGTCATCTCTTTTGCTGGTGCATCTTCTCATGCCACATTTTGCCCTTCCACTAGATTTTCCATTGATGTGCTTGGACACAGCACTGAACAGCCAGCCTCCTTAGCTATGAACTTTTGTGTCTTACCCATCCTATGGAAGGTATCAATGATGGTCTTCTGGTCAGTTGTTATGTCTGCAGTCTTCCCCATATTGAACCGAACTGAGACAGTTGAACCAAACTGAAACAATTTAATGACACCTGGGGAAACCTGTGCAGGTGCTTTGAGTTTAGTACAAACTGGATTCCAAAAAAGTTGGGACACTAAACAAATTGTGAATAAAAACTGAATGCAATGACGTGGAGATGGCAAATGTCAATATTTTATTCATAATATAACATAGATGACAGATCAAAAGTTTAATCTGAGTAAATGTAACATTTTAAAGGAA